TTTTTTTTTGCTTGTTAAAATGTTCTGAAAACGACTAAAAAATCTGGCCAGCTTTTTGCAACTAAATATTATTTTCGTGGTCAGCAATTGAGAGCGATCGCTCCCGCTTCCCGACCAAGCCTGTATATATATATATATATGCCTCGGCAAGAAGCTCTCTCTCCCACACTCCCCAAAAAGGGTTTATGGGAGCAATTTACGACTCTTGCAAAAGTATGATTTTTCTTACAAAAGTATAATTATTGTTGTAACTAAAATAAAAACACAATGTCATTTAAAAAAAATTAATTGTAAAATATACTGCACTGTTTTATAAAAAGCAGGGTTGTTGCAAAAAAAAATTAAAATTAAAAAAGGGCAATATATATATATATATATATATATATATATATATATATATATATATATATATATTAGAGTGATCAATATAATGTAAATTAATTATTTACAAAATAGATTATTAATTATATATTAAAATTTAACAAAATGAAAAAATACCACTTTATGATGGAACATAAAGTTTCATGCCCTTTCGGCAATCATCAGATATATATATATATATATATATATATATATATATATATATATATATATATATATATATATATATATATATATATATATATATATATATATATATATATATATATATATATATATATATATATATATATATATATATATATATATATATACATATATACATATAGACATATATACATATATACATATATACATATATATATATATATATTTTAATATAATATATTTAAAAAATATGAATAGAATTTCATATTTCTCATTTAAGCATAATTACAAGATTTTTTTGTAGGGTTATAAGCATTGGACTGTTTAATTATTTTCCATTTAACTATAGGATTCAAATAAGCTTCCTTTAATTTCCAAAACTCCTTTGATAACTCAGTGTCATTTTTATACCTGATAATATTAAACGAATATATGTGATTAGCTTATCTAATTTTGAATGGTGTTTCACTTATACCGAAGTAAAATTTGTTTATAGAAATTTGGGCAGGATCATTGGAAGTTAAATTAGCTTGGTACACGATGTTATTTGCTAGGCATTTGTTTGCCAAAGGGCAGGTCTTTTTATCAAGGCAGTTACAAATGCTTTTAGTGGTAATTTTGTTGTTTAAAATATGATAATTGTGTGCATTTAAGATAGATTTCATATTTAGCATGCAGCTGTAACTTACTTTTATTGTGTTTCTATTAAAAATCTTATGGAGCTTGTGATTAACAGGGAAGTGTTTATTGATAAGTGTTAAAAAAATTTTTTCTACATTAGTGCTAACATTTTTGCTGAAAGGGGGGTTAAACCAAATAATATTTTGTTTACGGTGCTTGGCATGAGTTGAATTTAAGTTAGGATGATAAGAAAGCTTATGAACAAAACCTGATTTTAACAATGTTTCCTTAGACATGTTGGTCGAAAATTTTGAAAAATTTCTTCGCTTGACAAATTCGCAGATAATCTCAACTCAATAGAACGTGGAAGTTGTTTTAAAATACTGTGTGGATGGTTTAAAATACTGTGTGGACATCTCTATTAATTGCAAAGTTAAAATTGTTAACTAGCTTGATTTAACTTTTTTAACTTAATTTAACTCCAAATTCATTCCAACCTGAAGAAACACTGCAAGCCTGAAAATATGCTAAGTTATGTACATGCTGATTCTAAACTTTCACCTAATATAATAAATAATCTTCCAAAAAATATCGAGCTAAGGTTGTCTGCCAACTCATCAAGTAAAGTTATTTTTAATAAATTGACACATCTTTATGAAGAGACATTAAAGCAATTGTTCCAAAAATTAACCACAAACAAAAATTAAAATTGTCTTACTGGCCTCATATTTCTTTTTTATACTTTTTTTTTTTTCACAAATATTTGAAAGGTAAAATTTTTGTGGTAAAATTGATATACTGAGCTTAAAAATCACAGGGAAAAAATTATATCAGTTTTTAAATGCTGGTCTCTAGATGACAATTACAAAAATAATTTACTCCAATATAGAAGTTGGTTTAAAGGAGTTTAAAAACCTGCAATTGCATTAAAAAACCTCTTTGTCCATTGAACAACAATCGCTTGTATAGCAACATCATTTACCAAGTCACCGTAACCTTAAATAAACCTCAATACAACGAAAAAGTATACATTGGGATAAGGGAAACCTCTTTTCAGCTAGGTTATGCGAACCATCTAAAATCCTTTAACAAAAAAAGGAAAAAGATGACATTGAGTTGTCTAAGGAAGTATGTGAATTAAAAGAAAACAATTTTAAATCTTTAATCAAATGGAATATTATTAAATGTTGTAAATCATACAACCCTGCGTCGAAAATTTGTAAACTTTGTTTAAACGAGAAATTCGAAATGTTATTTTACAAATGAGATAACTTGCTAAACAAAAGATTTTAATCAAGTTTTTTTGATGTCTTAAATTCCCATACGGAAAAAATCGAGTTAACTAAAGAGA